GAGAGGAGTGAGAATGCTTCACAGTGCAGAAACTCTGATCGTGGAGGTCTTGGAGTGCACAAACACTTAGTCGGTCAGAAATCTTTTGTGCAAGTTCATCAAGAAATGGTAAGAGTTCTCTTTCCATCCAAACAAATCATTTCTCTGATTTTCTAATATTGCTTCCATGATTTAAATCTGTTTGAGTTTAATTGTAGGAGGAAAAGCTCAAGCGTCCTGTATCACTTGGCGAAATGTTTATGCAAACACATACAAGGGCTGATGGATCATTTGTGGATCAAAAAGCTAAAGAAGTTGCTGAGGCGTATGCGAAGGGCATTGAAGACAGGCTGTCTGAATTGGACGAGGAGGGTCCTCAGAATTCTGCTAATTCCTCTGAACATTCCACTGACCGTATGCTCAGCATTGATGAAAAGAATGAGATCTTTCTTAAGGTAATTGATTTCTGTTTTTATTTTGCTTAGTATCTGATTGTCTTGTTCTGATGATTTGAGTAATTATGCATTCCTTTTCTCTGTTTTTATTTATGACTGAGTCTGATTATTATATATGTGCATTATGGTTACTTAATCAGAATGATAATCGATTAACTGTGACCTATTTTTCTTTATGTCCACAAATTACAATGATGCTTATAATGTTGGTTTGATGTTGATTATGTGATTAACATTGTATATGCCTTTAAAGTGGATAATCAGTGTATATGCCTTTAAATTGTTTCTGGATTTCGTTTTTTTGACATCCAAGTTCTTGTTCACTGAATCTTTGTCTTTTGTTTTAGTGTACTCATAAAGATGACAAAGGCACTCCTTATGGCCTTGGATCGCTTGTGGAGACGCTGAACAAAGGAAAGAGGAAGGAGAGTTATGCGAGCTCTTCTACATCAACCATTGTGGAGCTTCAAGAACAGCTGCGGCGCAAGATATCTGAACACGACGCTGAAAATGCAAGACGTGATGAGGAGCACCGCCAATCTCAATCTAGGATCTCCAGCTTGGAGAAACTTGTCCTCTTCATGAAGATAAAGATCCTGAGTTGGCAGCTTTCTTGTCATCTGCTTCTACAACACCTGAACAACCCATCCAAGCAACCACCACACCTACATGCATTCTACCAACCACAACAGCTGCAACCACCCAACCAGCCATCCCAACCGCAGGCACCACAGAAGAGGCAGGATTGGCCAAGAGAGTAGCATCCTCCACTTCACCTGCTTTGTCTACTTCTTCTAACTTATGAACTTGAATTATTTATGCTTTTGTTGGTATGTAGGATGATGATCTTTTGTGTATGACTAGGAATCTAGGATGATAACTTATGTAGGATGATAATTTCTGGAATGTTTACTTGATTACTGTGTTTTATGGATATTTTTCTTTGATTAATGGCTTTTCAATTCGGAAATTAATCAGGTTTATGATTGTTAACATGTCACTAATTTGTGACCAGACCAATAAGAAACATATGACCATTTTCTGACCAAAACTATTCCATATATGTGACCACTTTGTGACCGACCATCTACAAAGCTGTGACGATTATGTGACTAAACTAAGTTTCACAAACTATAAAACTTGTAACAATATGGTTGCTAATACGAGACTATAAAACAGCGTCTTACAAAGGTCGCAAATAAGAAAGACTCTCTTGCGACCAAATTGTAACTGAAAGAGAGCATACATAGCGACTAAAGTGGGACTACTTAATTTTTTCACCTACGATATCTTAGTCTCTAATCTGTCGCATAACTCGGACTCTAATGTTAGTCCCAAAACCGTTGCAAGATAAGACTGGTAATTATCGTCACAAATCGGTCTCGTAGTTAGCCTCGTTGCGTTTTAGTCGGGTATCTGCAACTTCCAATACTAGTCACAGATTAGTCGCTTATTTACGACTATTTATGTTGGTCAGAAACTAGTCGCAAATAAGTGACTAATTTGCGACTGCTTTATTTTGCAACCAATTTTTAGCGACCATTTAAATTAGTCGCACAACAGTCGTAAATAGAGTATTTGCGACTGTTTTGCGACTAAAATGGGAGTCGCAAACGGTCTGTTTTCTTGTAGTATGATGCAGCAAAAACAAAACTTAGACCAGCAACAGCATATGAGTAAAGCCTTGAACGACTTTTCAAATCTCTGCAAAACGACGTCTGTGGGTTTATTCCTGCACCGCACTAAGTTATTCATTAGTTTTTTTACTCGATTATATGGGAAATCCAAAAAAGATTCGGGTGAATTTCAAATTTTCTGCTCAATTATGTTCCTCGCGTGCGCCGTTTTTTCCCTCTTGTACGCCGTTTTTTCTCCGCAGGTGCGCCGCCAGTTTACACATAGTTATACACAAGAGAGTAGTTATACCCAAGTTCCGCATAGTTCTACTTTTGCTGTATTCTAGTAAGATTAGTATTACGTACCCCGAAAATTTATATTTCTAGTTGTACGATTGATTGAAGTCGCTAACAATGTAATTCGGAATGTTTTACATATTCATATGTTTTAAACGTAGATTGTTGTAACTTTTTCGTCTTAATTTGGTTAATATTAACAACGTGAGTTTTAAAGTATATGAATGTATTGTGTAGTTCGCATGAGGATGAACTTTCACCATTTGTAATTTTACAAATCTAGCTATTGCAATGTTTACAAACCTAATGTATTGTTGTTATTAAACTTAATAAGAAAGAACATTATTAAACCTAGCTATTTGTATTGTTTAGAAACCTATTGTATTGTTATGGCGGAGATGGACGCATAAAACACTCAGAATTAAACGTTTAGCCACTTAATTCAATTTTACAACTAGGAAAGTAAGTAATCACTAGAGTTCATTTGTATGTTTAGATCTTATTTCTAGTATGAAACGCTGCCTTTCTTTGTTTGGTAGAAATTTTGTGTCGGCAGAACATTTGCGCATATGACATTACATATCGCTCTCCAAAAAGCCGAGATACAGCAAAGGTATAAATCAAATATATTGAACTCTGCTACCATTGTCCGCGATCAAATTGCTTTAGCCTTGGCATTTCTCTGCTACTTTTTTATTTCATGTATTTATATAATACTCTATAGTTATTAACTTATTATGCGACAAGTCGCCTGAGGCAACGACGGTCCTACCTATTTTTTTTTGTTACGTTGACTTCTTCTCTATGCAATAACCGTTGCATATACTCAAAAGAAGTGACTTCATTATATCACTCGCAGAGCTTATTTGTCCACATCCAGACCATTCGCCGAGTCAAGTAGGACTAACTGGGCTGGGGACAGCAGGAAAGAGGATCTATGCATCGGTTCAATGCAGCAGAATCCAAACGGTTAATAAGACATTTACTAGAACAAGTAAACAACTATACATTTATTATTCGTCAACTTATAACAAAAGAAGGATAGAAAAGTGATGAGGAGCGGAAGCGCACAGTGTGCCTTTAGAGACCGTAAGGGATCCCTAGCGCCAAGATAAAAGAATTTACTCTGCTATGCGCACAGTGTGCATATTTAGGGCTTTTATACTTCAACTTATATAAGTTAAAGTTGTGTAAACTCTATCTGAGTTTTTTTAATCCTCTACCACCTTGTGGCTGCAAAAACCTCCTCAATAATGATCTACATTCCAGTACCACTTATGACAGACATAGTCCATCGTATTGGGAGTGAGGGATTCCGCAACCTAGGTTCTTTCATTGCAGCTGGGCCTTTCTTTAAACAAATTGTCTTTTCCCGTGAAGTCCTAATCGACGTGGATCTTGATGAGTTCATGTTCAACACTAGACTCGGTAGAGAAGAATCTATCTATCGATCCTTCCTTTTAAGATGCGTAGCTGAAGGTCATGAGATAGCAAGATATATCGAATCTCTACGCCGTTTGACTCAAGATGGACCGTCCGTAGAAGCACTAGAGATGCTTGGAGAAGTTGCTTATTCTTCCATCTACGCTATATTTGCATTTGCGGTCACCATCGTCGGCTAGAGCATCTTAACGGTCCTTTAGCATCTTGGCCCTTTTCATCTCACTGTGGTATGTTCTTCCTCCTCCATGAAAACAACCTTAGTCGAGAGAATAACAACAGAATTCGAGAGAAGAGGGGTCGAAATAGTGGAGGAGAATGAAATAAAGGATAAGGAGAATAAGGAAAACGATGATTATGACTGTGTAAAAGAGGGTTAGAAAGAGTGGAGGATAATGAAATAAAGGATAAGGAAGAATAATGGAAACGATGATTACGACAATGGGGGAATTCTCGAATATGTGAGAATTGGAGGGAAACACAAAAACATTCGGGTGAATTTCGAATTTTCTGTTCAATTCTGTTCCTCACGTACGCTGTTTTTTCTCTCTTGTACGCCGTTTTTATCTGCATGTGCGCCGCCAGTTTATACATAGTTATACACAAGATAGTAGTTATACCCATGTCCCACATAGTTCTACTTTTGCTGTATTCCAGTAAGATTAGTATTACGTATTCCTACAATTTATATTTCTAGTTGTACGATTGATTGAAGTCCTTAACAATGTAATTCAGCATGTTTTACACATTCATATTTTTAAAAGTATACTTTTATAACTTTTTTGTGTTAATTTGGTTATATTAACAACGTGAGCTTAAAAGTATAGGAATGATTTGTGTAGATTATTTCAAAATATATATAGTTTGTAATTTATTTTGTAACTTTAATAAAGAATTGACTTTAACACTTTGTAACATTAAAAACAATGAATGTACTTGGATTTACTTAGATTTGCCTCATTTTTATTTTTCTCACATTATAGTTGTTTCAATTTTTATGAAGTTGATGAGGATTATCACGAGGATGGGAAAGAGAAGATAGATAGGAAGAAATAGGACAAGAAGAAAAAACAGAAGAAAAAGCATTGTGGGACTCGAACAGAAACTGGAATAAAATTGTTTGAATTGTAACGCTTTTGAATATATAAGTTTACGAGGATTATCGTTGTCTATTGTTTATGTATGTTCAACGTTCTCCACCAATATTAACAATTATCTCAATATAATTTGATTAAATTCGGCCCAAATTACGAGGCTCTTTAAGCCTCAGCATCCTTCTCCTCAACCGCTACATCACGGACATCGCTCTGGCTCACGAGCTCGGAGTTGGAACCGTGCTGGTCAGGGACGGGACTGATCTGAGCAGAAGGAGAAGCGCGCTCAAAACCGAGCTGATCAGGAGACATGTTGAGGTCGGCATCCGCCAACTCAAGGACATCCAACGCATCAACTTCTTCTTCTGCAGCTTGGGTCTCCTTTGCCAGATTCTTCAGCTCGGTCTCTGCGATGACCGCTCCCCTGTCAATCAAGATCGCCACAGTCTCGTGAACACCTTTGGACTGATTCCAAGCGTCCACCTTAGGTTGAACGACGTCCGCCTGCTCCTTCATATAGGACTTCACCTTATGAAGGCGTGCTTGAGCCTTCTCAGTGGTACGAGTGACCTTGGTAAGACGATCGTCCCTCAGCCTGGCCAGTTCCTTCTCCTCATGATTCATGACCGCGACCAGATCGCCCTTCAGATTGGCGATCTCGCACTTTAGCAAAGCAACTTCGGCTTGATGGGTCACAGCTGCCTTCTCCAGATCGGCTTGATGGGTCGCAACTTGCCTCCTCTAGATTGGCATTCTTCTTCTTGAGCTTCACATAGTGGAATTTGGCGTTTGCGATACACAAATTCAAATTTCGGAAATTTTCCTCATCCACAGAGTTAGCTCGAAGCCGTCGTTCATATTGCGCGATCAGATTGTTGGCCAAGGCATTAGTCTAAAAAGAAAAGAAAAGAAAAGGCGGAAAGATATATAAAAATAGGTGGAGGCAAAGCGTAAATAAAAGCTACCTCCAGAGAAGATCAGGCGAACGTCTTGTAGTCTTCACTAAATATCAGCTCGTCCGGATCCGGAAGCGCCTTGGCTCCGGGAAGAAGCATGCTACTCCATAGTTGGCAGGCGGTTTCTTTATCCTCTATCAAGTGCTGACCTCCGACGTATTGGAAAGAGAATCTGTCATGGCGATCAGGATCGTCCCTGGTTAAGCTGAAGGTCTTTTGGGGAGGACCTTCCTTAGATAGGCCGGCATCAGAGGCACTCCTCTTACCACCGATAGCGACACCTTTCCCTTTGTCCTCTTGGGACTTCGTCCTCTTCTCGGCGGCAACCGCCTTCTCAGTAGAAGGACCATCCTTGGTCACTTCAGGAGCAGTCAAGTCGTAATCAACCCGCATAACTACAGGCGTAATAGCTCTAGTGTTAGCGATCTGGTCGCCAGTTCCAACTATACCGGTATCAGCCCGGTCTTGAGCAACATCAGCGGCTTCGGAGGCCGCAAGGATGGAATCGCCCCCAATGGAACCGTCGGCTACTTGGGGCAGCTCTGGAATTGGTGTGACGGGCAGGGTCCCGAACAGTAGAGTCCGCGCCCTGAGGACGAGCTGGTGGAGGCGGCGAACTCTCCAACCTCGCCGCAAAGCTGACATAATTTTTTGTCACCTTGCCCATTATACGAGCAACTCGGTCTCGCGTGACGTCCCTCCAAGTTCGGTCTTGAGCACGGAAGATGGCCGACTTAACCTCTTCGTACTCGGCAGGGAAATGACGGCTGTGAGTGTGGGGAACTGAAAAGGAAAACAATGAAATATGAGAATAAAATCCGAAATTAGAATTTCAATACGGCCAACTGTTCAGGGGTCTACCGGGATCATCATTCCACATCCTCCTTCGACCAGATAGAGGGCGCTCTGAGGAATGGAGGTCGATCCTGACGTAGAAGTAGCAGCTCTCCCAGCTCTTAAAATTGCTAACTTTGCTCCCAGCTGTGAGGAATGGAGGTCGGTTGTTGACGACCCAAGTTCCAGACGACTTGTTGGCCTTCAATGTCGTCAATTCCTCAAAGAAATCAACGTTGACTCTGTAACCTTCCTCAGCGCCAAAAACAAGGGCGACGACAAAATTGCAGATCGCCGCAGGAGTTAATTGGGAAATCGCCAACTTGTGGCGATGGATATAACCGATCAACAATGAGGGAATCGAAAACCAGAGTCGGCACTGCCTGAAGTATGCTTCATAAAGACAGATGTAACCTCTGGGAGGATTCCATGGGCGATTGTCCGGCCCCGGGATTACGAAAGTAATTCTGCTGTCTTCCAAACCACAGGAATTTAGCATCACGAGGACTGTCCCCTCGGAGGATTAGGTAGGGACCCCCACGATCTCTGGGTCCCAGTTTATTGTTGGAGGAAAGTCAAAGTCAACAACACCGAGTGGAACTAGTCTCTCTTCCACCTCGGCCTCAGTATATTGGTAACGATTTACGGGCTCCTCCTCAAGATCGGTTAGAACCTCGAACCGATTAATTCCAACTACTAGCTCATCTTGATGAGCGGTCTCGTTTCCACAATCGTCTTCCCGGTCCGATTCATCGGCTAATGTAGGAACTCCGATCTGATCGATCCGACTTGATTCGGCTTCCTCTTCTGGTTTCCGCTCAAGGCGAGAGTTACGGCGAGCTGACACAGTAGCCTCGCTATCGGAAGCGGCGGAAGATCTAACAGTTGTATCCATGACTAGAACGAAAAAAGAAGTTGCGGAAACAAACAGAGGGTTATAAGCAAAGAAGTTACCATTATTTTCTTTCACAAGCGGCTGGAAATGAAAAATTGAAGAGATTTATCGAGAGTAAGTAAAACGAAGGTGGGCGGCGGACCTAGGTAAAATAATCATTAGGTCTACTAAAAACTCTTCAGTCTCCGAATTCCACGCGCTTGCTCGGGCGCCAAGCAGTGACACGTGTCGAAAGGAAATTAAAGAGTCCGAAAATTCGGAACGGTATGAGGAAATCTCGAATTTAAGCCGAATATTCATTTCCCTGATTCGGAATTTCCGAATTAAAACATTCGGACTTCCCGAACTGGGGGGGACTAATTTTTGGTGCAGGAATTAGCACCTCCGACAATACCGACATAAACCGGACGAATTACGAATCAAATTAAGAATTCAATGTAAACCGGGAAATCTCGCTTATGAAGACAGGAGATCGCCTGTAACCGACTTCCTCATTCAGGAAAAAGGAGATTTTCATAGAAGATAAAGGAGAATCCCGAAAAGAAAGAAAAATCAAAGGATAAAGCTTTGAAGATTTAGAAGATTAACTTATCTCTAAACCGCCCAAAACTTGTATAAATAGGAGGGTCTGTCCCCTATTGAAGGGATCCGCAACTTAATACAAAAAACCCTAATTGTTCTTGAGCAAAACCCGAACTTTGTGTCTAAGCAATAAAATTCATCATTCTTTTCGAGTCTTTGATCATTAATAGAAAGAGAGTTAATTGAATTTGTTTTGCTCCCTTAAACAAATTCATTGTGCGATTTTCAGAATCAATACTTCCAAAAGCTTCCGATTCTGACTAAGATTCCGAAGCGGGAAGCGGACCTTCGACGAAGCTTCCGTGCTTCCTAGACCTGAACTATAATGGGGGTCTAAATTTCTAGTTTCGCGTATGTTTGAGAAACAAAGTAAAACTTATTCTAATGTACAATGTTGAAAACGAAATTAACTCCTCGTTGAATGGGGAGTCAATCTCACGGGTTTAAATACCACCCTTTGGGGTATCGTCTATATCATCAAGAATTCAAAATTTCCTTTTCTTGGTTTAAAGAATGGAGAGCTCTGGTTCCTCCTTTGAGGCTAATCACAACGTTCCGACCTTCTCCAATTCTGAGGCGATTGAGCGAGGGATGCCCATTTTCAATAACGTTTGTGCTCCATGGACTCTCTTGTTTCATGCGTCGAGAGTCGACATAAAAAGTACCGTGACCTGTTGATCTTTCACGAGGATCGCCAATCTGAGCTTTTGTATAAGCTTAGTCTGCTGGAGTCTCATCCACGAGATTGGTTAAAGAACGGCTTCAAACTCTTAGCCCCTATGGCAGATCCTCTCGTATCTTATTGCCAAGACTGCGCACAAGCTGCTTGTTCTGTTTTGAGGGCAAGGCAGCCAGGCCTTATTGCAGACGGAGATTTCATTCCGAGTTCGCCTACGATGTTCCTCGTTGATCTATGACTACTTCGCCTTCTGATCGTTCCCAATATACTAATCTGTGTTCTTTGTATCTTCAGATCGGACTCAAGCATCAGGATCAATGCCGTGAACTTCAATATTTTCGAATCAAGAAGCGTAAGGTGGACGATCGCTTGGAAGAGCTTGAAGCCGAAGTCACCAGGTTGAGAGCTAAGCGGAGGAAAGTTATTATTCGTTTGGACGAGATTGAGCAAACAACGAGGGCTTTGGAGATTGGCTCAGAGAATTGGGAGAAGGTCGGTCTTCAGTTATATACGCTATTGGCATGTTTTAACCAAAAAAAAAAATCAATCAAGCTAAAATGCCAAGTAATAAGCGAATTAAAAACAAATTAAAACTAAAAGCCGCCCCGAAAGTGAGTCCACGGCTGATTAAGGTTCAAATTCAGACCACCCCGAAAGTAGGGCCGCAGTCGAAACAATTCCAAAAGTCATTCCTAGGGGCGAGGCTCTCTAGGATTCAGGGTCTTTCTCTTTAACGGTCACGTGGCGGATATCACTCTGGCTGACAAGCTCCGAGTTCGAGCCATGCTGGTTAGGGACAGGAGTGACCTGAGCAGATGATCGGGCGCGCCTAAAGCCGAGTTGATCAGGAGACATGTTAAGATCGGTATTTGTGAGCTCTATAATATTCAGAGCATAAACCTCCTCTTCAGCAATCTTGGCTTCCTTGGCCAAATTCTCCAGATCGATCTCTGAAATGACCGCACCTCGGCTAATGAGGACTGTCGCGATCTCCTGAGCACCCTTAGATTGATTCAGAGCATCCATCTTGGGCTGGACGACATCCTCTTGCTCTTTCAGATAGCCCTTAACTTTGTCAAGGCGAGCCTGAGCTTTCTGAGTGGTGCGGCTGACCTTAGCAAATCGGTCGTTCCGCAGCCTGGTTAGCTCTTTCTCCTTGTGATCCCTCGAGAAGGCCAGATCAGCTTCTAACTTGGCGACTTCCCCCATAAGCGCAATCTCCCGATCTCCAAGCCTAGCAACCTCCTCCGCGAGCTCAACCTCGCGCCTGCCAAGTCTGGCGACCTCATCTATAAGCGAAGCGACTTCAGCTGAATGGGTCTCGGACTCCACCTCCAGGCGAGCGTATTTCTTTCTGAGCTCCTCGTGATCGCTCTTCTCTCGCTCGAAGACCGAGCTCAGTTGCTTGAAGTGGCCCCTGTCCGCCAGCTTAAGTTTAAGCTTCCGGTCATACCAAGCGACCAAGTTGTTGGCCAATGCGTTGGTCTAAAACACGGGGAGCACAATATAAAGTCAATTGCGGCTAGAAGAAAAATCCAGACAATTAAAACTATGATACAGAAAGCGTAAATACCTCAAAGGAGGAGCGAGCAAACTTTTTATATTCTGCGCTGCAGACCAGCTCATCCGGGTTCGAGATCGCCTGTTCCCCGGGAAGGGTCATATTACGCCAGAGTTGGCTGGCGGCTTCCTGATCTCTCATCAGGTATTTGTCTCCTATGTACTGAAAGGAGAATCGGTCGGGACGATCTGGGTCATCCCTCGTCCAGCAAAAGGTTTTTCGAGGAGGGCCGTCCTCAGGCAGACCGGCCTCAGAAGCAATCCTCTTCTCGCTGACCTCGACACCCTTTCCTTTGTCCTCTCGGGACTTGGTTCTCTGCCCCAGGGCAGTTGTCTCCTCAGCAGGAGGGGCGTCCCCGGTTGATTCAGGGACAGTTAGGTCAAAGTCGACCTGTATAGTTTCAGGCGCAGTGGCCTGGGAGTTTGCGGTCGGACCAACGACCTCCAGTGTACCGGCTTCAGCCCGGTCCTCCGTATGTTCAGCGATCTCAGTCTCTACTGGAACGAGATCGTCTTCAGCTGAACCGCCGTTTACCTCAGGCAACTCCGGGACTGAAGTATTTATAGGGTCCTGGGCAGAAGGACCCCCCTCCGAGGCATGAGCCAGAGGAAGCGGCGAACCCCGCAGCCGTGCTGCAAAACTAACAAAACTCTTCCTCACTCTTCCCATTATTCGGGCGACTCTCTCCTTGGTGACGCCCTTCCAAGTTCGGTTCTGCACACGGAAGATAGCCGACCTGACTTCCTCGTACTTGGCAGGGAACTCTCGGCTAGGTTTGTGGCGAGCTGAAAAGAAAATAATAAACTATTAATATAAAGCAGAAAATGTTTCGACACGGCCAGCTGTTCAGAGGTCTACCAGGAGCCTCAGATGATTTGATGTCGGAGCGGACGAAGAAGTAGTGACGCTCCCAACTCTTGAAGTTGCTGACTTTATCTCCGGGCATAAATTTATGATTAGGCCGATTATTCACGACCCAGGTGCCCGGCGACCTTCCGGCTTTTAGCATTGTCATTTCCTCAAAGCAGCGAAGGTTCACCTGGTAACCTCCCTCAGCGCCAAAGGTAAGAGCCCCGACGAAGTTGCAGATCGCCGCCGGAGTCAGTTGCAAGATCGCCAGATGACGGTGATGGATGAATGAAATCAGCAAAGTTGGAATTGGAAACCACATGTGACATTGCCTAAAGTACGCCTCGTACAAGCAAATGTAATCCCTGGGGGGATTGCATGGGCGATCAGCTGGCCTGGGGATTATAAAAGTAATCCCGAAGTTCGCTAAACCGCAGGAATTCAACATCCCGTTAACCGACTCCTCAGTTGAGAGAGTGGGGACCCCGACAATCTCAGTATTCCAGTCTATCACTGGAGAAACGTCACGGGTGAAGACACCAAGAGGAGCCAGTCTCGCTTCCACCTCAGCCTCGGTGTACACAGGACGATCGGAAGGCTCCTCCGTAAGGTCGATCAGCACTTCAAACCGATCGAAACCTTCCACCGGATCATCATGATGGACGGCTGAGTTACCACCGTCTCCTACCCGGTCCGACTCGTCAACCAGTTCAGAAATTCTGATCTGATTGCTCCGGTTTGGCTCAGCTTCGTCTCCTAGATTCCGACGCAGACAAGAGTTGCGACGAATCAACTTAGTGTTTTCACCATCGGAGGAGGCGGAGGCTTCAATAGTCTTATCCATAATCGCAGCAAAATAAATAGAGAATAGTGAACAAAGGAAACGGAGGAGAGCAAGAACAGAAATTACCTTCGAAATCTCTTTTACAAGCGGCTAAAAATGAGAAACGGGAGAGATTCATCGGATATAAATAAGTAGACGGAAAGTGGGCGGCAGACCTAGATAAAGTAATCATTAGGCCTACTGGACTCTTCGGTTTTCGAATTCCACGCGCCTGTTCGGACGTCAAGCGGTGACACGTGTCAGAGGAAAACCGGAGAGTCCGAGAATTCGGAACGATGCGAGGAAATCTCGCATTTAATTCGCACCTTCCTAAGGTATAAGCCGAATATTCTTTTTCCTAATTCGAAAATTCCGAATTAAAGCATTCTGATTTCCCGAACTGGGGCGGGACTAATTGTTGGTGCAGGAATTAGCACCTCCAACAATACCGGCTTAAACCGGACGAATTACTAATAAAATTGGGAATCCAATTTAAACCGGGGAATCCCGGTTTAGCCTGTTCAAAGGCTAAAGAAGGATATTGCCAGGCGAGCTGGGTTCGAAGACAGGAGATCGCCTGCAGCCGACTTCTTCATTCAAGAAAAAGGAGTTTTTCCTAGAAAGAAAAGGAGAATCTCGAAAAGAAAGGAAAATCAGAAGATAAAGCCTTGAAGATTGGCATATCTCTAAACCGCCCTAATTATGTATAAATAGAGGGGTCTGTCCTCTATTTAGGGGATCCGCAATTTTTACAGAAAAACCCTAATCCGCAACTTATATCACAAAAAACCCTAATTTTTCTTGAGCTAAACCATAGCGTTGTCTCTAAGCAATAAAATTCACCTATATTCGAGTCTTTGATCTTTAATAGCAAGAGAGTTAGTTGAATTTGTTTTCCTCCCTTAAACAAATTCATTGTGTGATTTCCAGAATCAACAAAAAGTAATAGACAAAAAACTAATAGACAATATTTGGCCTGTAAACAGTACTTACAACATACATAAGTTTGTCTACAAACACTGAATAGTATGTCATTTTGTCGTAGACTAACAAACAATATCCATTACCCACAAGTCCACGAAAATATAGACCTTCTCATTCATGAAACGTTTTTGTCAATATATATGTTAAACTATATATACGTCGCCAGTTAATGCACAATACTATCTACTTTTAGCCATTCACTACAACCCTATTCCAGCCGAAACATGTCAGGTGCGTCACTTCATTATCTTTTCCCACTAACAATTTCGGTGGGCATTTTTGACTTTAATACATGCCACAAAAACCAAATATGACCATTTTAGGATATGAGTTTTTCGAAATGGCATTATAAAAACTAAAAGTGGTCTTCGTGGCAGTATTGATAACATTCCCTTGACTTAAACATTGGAAGTCTTATGTCTTCGTAGTTCGATATATAGGATTGACACTGCGCGTCGATTTTTATTTTTTTTCCGTGGTTACGAAACGCTAGCGTGTTTGGTTTGATATTGTACAAATAGTCAAATACGATGGCGTGTAATATACTGAAATTGCTTCAATATGAGGACGTGGCGACTTCAGGGCTACGAGTCCCATCGATATGACATTCTCCTAGTGCCACTCCCAATGACCTAAACATTAAATTGTTTCTTATCTGCCATAGGATTTCCATCCGGGCTATAAATGCAGTCAACTGGTTTGCTACCAGCCGCTTATTAGTCGCTATCTTTTAATCTGCATAACCTGCATCTACCATTTTTAGCTTTTTTTCCGGTAAACAAGCATGGGTTCTACTCTAATCAAACGAGAGCTCAAACATATTGCGAAGAATCCTCAAACCCACTGGAGCGCAGGTATTTTCGTTTCTAGGTTTACTGCAAACGAGTTATGTGATGTTATGGTTTTACATATTTTCTTGAATCTGCCACGGTCTATATGCTGCTACTAGTGATATCATAGAAAATCCATTATATCTCATCCTCAGATGCACTTTGCAAGTATTTTCAGAATATTTCCATTTGTCTATTAATCTTATTTTGGTTGTTCGCCATATAGGTCCTAAGGCTGATAATATCTACGAGTGGGAAGCAGCTCTTGTGGCACCCACCCCCAGTCCCTATGCAGGTGGAATTTTTTTTCCTCAACATTCATTTTCCTCCGGAGTATCCTCTTAAACCACCAAAGGTTGGATTCAGAACTCCCATTTTCCACCCAAACATCCACACCAATGGAGCCATCGACCTTAAAATCTTGAAAACAGAATATTGGAGTCCATCTGGAACCATATCTGAGGTTTTAATTTGTTGTTTCTTTCATTTTACACAATCTGTTCGAATTATATGAGTTATTTATGTTCTCCGAATCTTATTTGGTTTTAATTTGTTGTTTCTTTCATTTTACACAATCTGTTCGAATTATATGAGTTATTTATGTTCTCCGAATCTTATTAGGTTTTGTCGGCGCTATAACGAGTTGCTAACTGACCCGGTCCTCGATGATCCTATGTTACCAGCGGTAGCGCATTTGTACAAGAAAGACAAATGCAAGTACGAGGCAACTGCGCGGCAATGGACAGATCTGTACGCCATGAAATGATCAGAATAACGGGATCGAAAGGAGGAAAGAACTCCTGGAAAAACTTTCTCTGCATCCCTTCAAATTTCTCCTCTCATTTCTGAACAATATTTCCCCAGTGTTAATTTTCTAGTTTTTTTTACCATTTTAAGGCTATGAATGGATGCATCTACTTTTTAATTTGGTTTCTCGATTGTGTTTTTAGTTTTTGGATTTTAGATTTTGGTTTTAGATTTTTTAATTAGATTTTTGTTTAAAAAACTCCAAAAATATGGTATTTAGTTTATAAGAAAATTACGTAGATGGAGTAAAAACTAGATTCCCTAAATTATAGGAGAACTAAAAATCTAAAATCTTGAATGAAAGATCACAACCAAAAAGTTTTCCAAAATTGTAGAGAAACCAAAATTTGAAAAACTTGATTGGTGTAAAATAAGTTTTTGAAAAACAAAAACTACTAAACATTCAAGGCCTAAATAGTTTAGCACAGTAGTGCCATGAGATTGCACTTTGTAATGGCATGGTTCAGTTATTTATATGAGAATAGTTTCTGGACGACGCAATGGTTTCGTCTGAATGTTAGTGACTCTTGGTATGCTAAAAGGTTGCAACCGTCGCATTTAGTTGCTTCTACTCTAACAAGTAGTTATACGCAACATAATAGTTGTACTGGGATGCTGTATTTATGTTTCTAGTTGTACAAGTGATTTAAGTCGCTAAACATATATTTCCGAATGTTATATGCATTCATAGGTTTAACACATAAAATTGTGTAGATTATTTAATAACAATCCAAAGTAACATTTATCGAGAATTTATTTTTTGAATTCTTGCTTAGTTTTGATGTAAAAAACTGATTTGAGGTTTAGTACAGTGATGTATATGAGCACCGATGCTGAATTCTTTTCATTTTCTATCTACTTCTCCTTCAATTTACCTTCAACCTCTAGCATAGTAACAATGTACCAACTTGATCAATTAATCTATTCAAGACTTCGTAAATGGCGACAATATCAAGAAGGCAATTTAAACAAATATAGTATATGGAACTCAATCGAGTATAAACTGCCATCGTCTGCCTAGACAGAAATTAGCAGTTTAGAAGTGATAATGATGACCGTAACGACACCCAAGAAAACATTGAATACTTTACAGATATGTCACAATGATGGGACAACTCGTAGCCGCTGGAGAAGCTTACCGCAAGGCAACACATCCTCCAAAGGAAGCAATTAAACGAGTAAAAATAAGATTTTATCACATATCGAAATGATGTGATGTATTATTTACACAGACTAAACAATGCCTTGGAATCTACTTATTTGGGATAGTCAAGATTATTGTATATCTCGATAATGAGTTTGCTTTCCAAGGGCATACATATTAAACCTGAAAAGTAGTTGATAACACAGGAATTTTGAATTTCAAAATTAAAAACGTATAGTAAATGGCCCTTTTAAAGAGACGAGGTGACTCTCGACTTGATGATTAACAACTTCTATCAGAAAACAAGAAAAAAAGGGTCTGTCAGTTAGGAAAAAAAAATGGATGAGCATGTGGCTGATTTGAAGCCGATCAAACTATGTTGGTCAATCGAAGTTAAGGTGTTGAATAAATGGCGCGAGCGTTCTCAGAGGGGTAAAAGATCTATTCGTATGGTTTTAGCTGATCAGCGGGTAAATAAACTCATTATTCTTATTTTTCTCTGTGAACGTTTATACATTTATCTTTGTTAAGATTTTTTACGATTTAGTGTTTTCGAAACTGGTTCTAGGGTGATATGATAGAGGCCAAAATCTAATGGGACCTTATATCTCATTATGATTCTAAGTTCAAAGATGGAGACTGGATCGCTCTACATCATTTTCGTCTAAAGAGTGTGAATGGGGATCGAAGAACTACAAGTCATCCTTAGATTATATTCGAACTTTGGACCATATTGACTCCTTTACCTGCCATAGATGCTCTTGCTTCCTCATTTTTTTGATATCTCTTTCCGTGAAGTTGTGGGTGTGTCGTCTCAAAAGTTCTGAATTGATTAGTAAGGCTAAATATTTGTACTTTATTTCACATAAATTGCTTTGTTTGTTTTGTTGATTTTGCCTCTATCTTTCCATAAGGTTTTAATTGGCTTTGTTGTCAATCCTGGTGAGATACATTACTCTGCTCCAAGAACACAAACCTCTGATTATGCAGTGGTTGTTTTCTCAATTATGGACCTAGAGTGAGTTTTGTGTTAACGTCACCTATGTTAAGGTTGTTTATAAATATTAAATGAGGATAATGTAATCTTTTTCGTGTTGTAGTAACTACGTACTTGAGTGCACTGCAATCGGAGATCTTGTCGAACAATTCCATGAAGAGTGGAGAAGAGTTAGGGCTTGTCGACGAGTTGTTTGCGTTCTACGGTGGTGGGGTTATCATAAAACTGCTGCTTGTCACCTTTTCTTCCACTACTTTCCATTCAACAATCTTATCCAAAAAATGAAGTAATTCAGACACTTGGAACCCAAAAGAAGGCCAAGCCTTTGGTCTAGAGAAGGCTGCCAACAAATCGCCTGGCTCAAAAGCAAAAAGCACCTTAGAGATCTGATGACTATGCATACTTTCAATAGCCCAAATGACACTCTTTAGTATCACCTCATTTTTGTTATGCAAATTGTTAATGCAGGAATTAGCACCTCCGACAATACCGGCTTAAACCGGACGAATTACGAATTAAATTGAGAATTCAATGTCGACTCAAAGACGGGAGGTCGCCTGCAACCGACTTCCTCATTCAAGAAAAACGAGATTTTCCTAGAAGAAAAAGGAGTGTTGATTCTGAAAATCACACAATGAATTTGTTTTAATGAGGAAAACAAATTCAATAACTCTCTCTTGTAAACTCGGATCAAAGACTCAAAAAGAAGGGTGAATTTTATTGCTTAGAGACGACACTAGGGTTTAGCTCAAGAACAATTAGGGTTTTAGTGCAAAATTGCGGATGCCTTGAATAGAGGACAAACCCCTCTATTTATACAAGTGTTAGGCGGTTTAGAGATAAGTTAATCTTCTAAATTGATAAGACTATATCTTCAATCTTTTTTCTTATCGGGATTCTCCTTAATCTTCTAGGAAAATCCTTTTTCTTGAATATGGAAAGTTCCGTGTCCGAGGGCGATTTCCTTCTTCGGCCCATTAACAGGTTTAACCGAGATTCCCCGGTTTACATTGAGTTCTCAATTTGATTCGTAATTCATCCGGTTTAAGCCGGTATTGTTGGAGGTGCTAATTCCTGCACCAACAATTATTCCCCCCCAGTTCGGCTAATCCGAATGCTTATGCCTTAGGAAGGTGCGAATTAAATGCGAGATTCCCTCGTATCGTTTCAAATTCCCGGACTCTTCGGCCCCTATTCGACACGTGTCTCTGCTTGACGTCCAAACTGGCGCGTGGAGTTCGGAAACGAAGAGTCCAGAAGGATTAATGATCACTTTATCTAGGTCTGCCGCCCACTTTCTCTTATTTATATTCGATAAATCACTTCGATTTTCTTTTTATTTTCAGCTGCTTGCGGAAGAGAGGAAAAAGGTAGTTTCATCATCTCTCTCGCTTTCAACTCTTTGTTTATTTTTGCGACTCCTTTTTGTTCTAGCCATGGGTAAAACTGTTAGAGCTTTCACCGCCTCTGATAGCGAGGCTACCACATCGGTTCGTCATAACTCTCGCCTTGAGTGGAACCCAGGGGAGGAAGCCGAGTCAAGTAGAAGCGATCGGATCCGAGTTCCTGAACTGATCGACGAATCAGACCGGGAAGAAGATTGTGGCAACGAGATCGCTCATCGAGATGATCCAATAGTTGGGATCGATCGGTTCGAGGTTCTGATCGATCTCGAGAAAGAGCCTACAAATCGCCGCCGGTATACTGAGGCTGAAGTGGAAGAGAAGCTAGTTCCACTTGATGTTTTCGACTTCGACCTTCCTCCGGTGATAAGTTGGGATCCAGAGATCGTATGGGTCCCTTCTCAATCTACTGAGGATACAGTTCTAGGGATGCTAAATTCTTGTGGCTTGGAGGACTGTGGGATTACTTTCATAATTCCTGACCCGAACGATCGTCCATGGAACCCTCCTAAGGGTTACATTTGTCTCTATGAGGCGTATTTTAGGAAGTGCCAGCTCTGGTTCCCGATCCCGTCGCTGCTGGTTTCTTATGCCCATCGTCAGAAGCTGGCGATCTCCCAACTGACTCCTGCGGCGATCTGTAATTTCGTCGCCGACCTTGTCTTCGGCGCGAAGGAAGGTTATAGAGTCAACCTTGGTTGCTTCGTGGAATTGACGACGTTGAAAGCCAACAAGTTGTCAGGGACTTGGGTCGTCAATGCCCGACCTAAGTTGAACTTCATGCCCGGAACTAAAGTTAGCAATTTTAAAAATTGGGAGAGTCGCTATTTCTATGTCAGGGTCGACCTCCATTCATCTGAGCGCCCTTTTTCTGGTCGGAGGAGGATATGGAATGATGATCCTGGTAGATCTCTGAAGAGTTGGCCATAAAAAATTTCAATTCAGAATTTTGTTTTCTTACGTCGTCGTTTTCCTTTTCAGATCGCTACGCTCCCAGTCCCGATTTCCCTGTTGAATATGAGGAAGTCAGGTCGGCCATTCTTCGTGCTCAAGACCGAACTTGGAAGAATGTTACACGAGAACGAGTTGCTTGTGTAATGGGTAAGGTAAAGAAGAGTTATGTTAGTTTCGCGGCGAGGTTGGGAAGTTCGCCGCTTCCGACAGTTCGTCCCCAAGGGGCGGGCTCCACTGCTCAGGACCCGCTCAATACTTCGGTTTCGGAATTGCCTAAGGCAGCCGACGGTACGACTGAAAGCAATCCTATTTCTGTGGATCCCGGAGTTGCTAGTGCCGTACGGGATCCACCTGACGCTGATCTGGTAGAAACTGGCGACCAGATTGCCAATCCTCAAACTGCTGTACGGGTCGACTGTGACCTAACTGCTCCCGAAGTGATCATGGACGGTCCTTCTACCGAGGAGGCGGCTGTTGCTGAGAAGAGAACGAAGTCCCGAGAGGACAAAGGGTAAGGTGTTGGTGGTAAGAGGAGTGCTTCTGGAGCCGGAATGACTAAAGAGGGCCCTCCCACAAAGACCTTCTGTCTAACCAGAGACGACCCCGATCACCCCGACAGATTCTCCTTTCGGTATGTCGGAAATCAGCACCTATCAGAGGATAAAGAAGCCGCCTGCCGACTATGGAGCAGCATGCTTCTTCCCGGAGCCATGGCACATCCGGATCCGGACGAGCTGACTTTTAGCGATGTGGATGTAGGATTCACACTCGATTGTCTTTAAGTATTTTTGTGGAGAAAAACTCTAAAATCAAAGGATGAAAATAAGAATTCGAAAAGGAAAGTAACCAAGAAACCAAATAAAGTCAAAGAATTTGATAAGAATAAAATAGTAAAAAGCCTTGTGAAATTGTGAGAGAAAAAGTATGTTGTATTGCTTGATAGTAAGAGGTAAAAGATTGTCTGTCCCCAAACACATGCGTTTGAGGTTGTTTTTATAGAGAAAACATGATTAATGCGGCTATTTACTACTCGTAATCATATTGATCCGCATTAATCACATAAGTTACATTTTGACCAAAACGGCTTGAATTTGAACCTTGTCTTGGGCTTCGCGTGGGCCTTCCGAACTCTTTCTTGCTGACTCCGAACTCCCGTGCTTTGATGCTACCGCGAGCCTTGAACAATATTCTCCTCGCTTCGGTCTTTCTCTATGCGAACTGTATGCTGGATAAGAGCGAACTCCGTACTGGTAAAGATCGAACTCCTTTAGTAAACTGAATCGAACCCCCAACCGGTCAAGTCCAATAAAGTATTTAGAAATCCGAGAGGATTATTGTGTAATAATGATGTGGACAGATCCAAGTGGATCCTACCGAAAGTGTGTGGGATCCGACCCCAACATTTAGCTCCCCAAGTCTTGCGAGCTGAGTGCTCGGCTTGGAAGACTTAAGTAAACAGTAATTAATGACTCGAGATCTTTAACATTCTGGAATTTCTCCATGTTTTACGCTGTTACGCCGATCTCGGATAATCAGATGATTTGATTTCCCTGACAACCGTCATCATTAATTTCTTAATTTTATATTAATACCACGGGGAAAACTGTCCCACTTCCCAATATTCTCGAGGCGGTTTTCCACTAAATAGGGTTAAATGGAACGACGGCTTTTACAGCGTACATTCACCCCTGAAAGCTTTTACCAAACCAGAGAAAGAAAAACCCCTTAGTAAAAAAAATGTCTTCCCCAGCCGTCTATGTTTCAGACAACGAAGATGACAGCCAAGGAATCCCTGTTCCCAGAGGGGACGAAGTCTTTACCCAAGCGGGAGATAAATTCGGTCCGCATTTCAGGTCTCAATCGACCCATGCTTCCCTTGGCGCTCTTCGTCGCCTTTGTAACATCCCCCAGGAAATAGAATTCTCTCTTCCTGGACCAAATGAGTCTCCAGAAATGGTGCGAGAGGGTTACTGTTGCGCGTACGAAGTCTATTTCAAGGGTTATGGTTTATTTTTTCCTATCCCGGAAGTTCTCCTTTTGTATCTCCTACATCTAGGGATCGCTTTTCCCCAAATGGCTCTCAACTTCCTTAGGTATTTTTTCCATGAATCCTATTTTTGACCGTAACCTCATCGACGGAATGCCCCTAAATGATGGGCCTTGGAGGAAATACTGGTTCTTTTTCCGAATTAATCCTCATTCCGTTCAAGGGCTTTCCGGTCTTCTTCTCCCAAATTGGTCGCCCAAACTTGGTTAGAATCATCCTTTATTATCTCTCTACTGTATTGTGTGAAAGAAACGGAATTCTTAACTCAACGTTTTATTTCAGGGAACCAAACTGTCCCCCGTCCAACTGTTGATTTCTTATCTTTCTTCCGAATCGTTTCCGAGGGTGAAAAAAATTGGAATTCTTTCACCCTTCAACGTATTCATAAAGCGGGGCTCGCTATTAAAGATGGTAAAACTCACCCTCTTGACCCTCCTCCTGAAGAGAAAGATGTTTCGAGCCTGAATGCTCGAGATAAAAGAAAAATCCAGGCTGAGACTAAGGCTCTTAAGGATCAATTATCCGAAATTGGGAAAAAGAAGCGGATAGCTGCAATCTCCAGGGTTGGTAGCTTCCACAGGAAGACCCTCTTAGTTGATGACGGTTCTTTAGAGGCGGCTTTGTCAAGTGCGGTGGATTCTCATGGAGCCGATATTCCTAACGACCCCCCAGTCGCCACCGCCATTTGCTCTTCCGCACAAGAGAGGGAGAGAGAAGAAACTCCTTCTCTTTGCACAAAGAGGAAGACTCCAGACTCGGATACTCTATCAAACGAGAGACTCAAAACCGTTAGATTAAGTTCTCCGCCACGAGCCCCTAGCTTTCTGCATTCTGTTTTCCCCTCTTTTGAACCTTCAGACTCTGAGCTCCCTCTTTCGGGAGACAGAGTAATTCCAGAAGAAATCGATGAGCCGAGACCTGAGACTTCCTTGTCCCAAGGACTAAGTGTTAGGACTCAAAGCCCTTTAACCGCTTCGATTTCTGGTAAGTTTTTTTTTTAGAAAGCAAGCCTTAGCAAGACTTGTTACAGATTGCGGCTATTTATCAACCTACTATTCTCCTCTGTTTTGTAGATGGAGAAGAGATTGGAGACATCTTCCGAGGTTTTCAAACCAGGGAAGGGATGTCCCTTCCTCCTTTTTCGGTTTGGAGGCCGGAAATCCGTCAGATGTTCGTCAGTCGAGCCTGTTACCTATCCCAGGTTCAAAATTTTTTCGGATTTTGATTTTGTCAACCCCTTTTTCTTAAGTAAAATTTTTTTTTGCCTTAATGACACGTTTTTTCTTTTTACTCCGAAGGCGTTTATGGAGACTAATGGAATGAATTTCCATTATGAGAACCTTCTTCACCAAGCGATGAGAGAAGTCGCAAAGGCTAAAAAGGAGGTTGATGAACTTAGATTAGCCAATCAGTCTGAGCGATCCGAGCAAGCAAGAGCCCTTGAATCATCCTTTGAGAATATGAAGAAAACTCTAGCAGCTAATGAGCAACGCATCAGAATTGCGGACGCTGAAAGAGATTCTGCGAGGTCTGATGCTCTTCGCTTAGAATCCGAGCTAGAAGAGACTACAGCTTTGCTCGAAGAGACGAATCAAAAGACCGAGCTTTTAATTAGGAACAGAGCTCGCGATATTGCTGAAGCCGAACATAACGCTCGAGAAGAGATGAGGGGCTTTGGTCGGCAACTCATTCAATCTATCATGAAGTTCATCAAAGACGAGGAAGTCTGGACTAAGCTTCAGTCCGATCGAGCCGAGCTGAAGAGTAATCTAGATCTGATTGGGGGAATAGAGAGTGGAAGAATTTCTCTAGAGGATGAGAGGAGGGAAGTTTCTGCTGAGCTCGCTACAGTTGAATCCGAGTTATCTTCCGCTTCCCGCCCTTCTCTTGATTTGGGACCATTTTCTTTGGTATTTGGAGATTCCCCCTCCCAATTTGAGGTTGGCGAAGGTTCTCGGCCATACGAAGGTTCTCCAGAGGTATAGGAACGCTCTTTTTTAAAAAAATTGTTTTGTTTAGTCCATGAGGACTATTCCGTTTGACGGAAATATTTTGTTCAATTAGTGTGACTGAACACAACCATGTACATGCTCTGGCATATGATTTTTTTTTTTTAAACAAAAACGTTTGGACACGATTCTAGGTTTGCAAGTCCTAGCCCACCAAAGAGGTTTTCTGAACTGTGAGAGATGAGCTGATCAGGCTCACTTGCCTTTTTTAAAGAAAAAATCTTAATAAGTATTTTTCCTCGGTCTCTCGAAGGCGAGGATGGAGCTCGGCTTAAGTTTTTTTTTTATCGAGGGATAAGATTTATAATTCATGAGAATTTTGTCATAAATATGACCAGGCAATGGTTTCGATCGTTGCCCATAATGGCTTCGGAATCGCTGGGCCACGTTTTAATTGGATCCGAAGCCTGCTCTAACAGGCCCGCAATATATAATTATTTTTAGAAATCTGAACCTCTTTCTCCTTTAAAAGGAATTCCGAAGGATCACCATAGTTCATTATAAGAAAAAACTTGAAAAATGCCGCTGTCTTCTTTCAGATCAAGCTCAAGAATAACAACTTCAAGTGGGAACCCATTGTTTGAGTCCGAAGACGGATTCTCTCCAAAGGGAGTTATTCACCCAACGTTTTTTCATTTCCGAACAGGGAAGGAAAGGGTCAAATGTTATGACTTCCTGGAAAAGGTTCCTTTTCTAACTCTTAGTCTTCTCAGAAAACTATAACTTCCTTTCTTTTGGTCATTTGACAAAATGTTTGTTCAAACAGATCGTCGGGAGACACAAAGCTTTATGTGATAAGAGACAAAGAATCGGAAGGAGGCGTCGTGCTCTTAATGAGCGCATAAAGAGGATGGAAAGAGAGATCCTTCGCCTGGAATCTGAACCGCATGAATGGGAGAGGAATGGTCTAGACATCGTGGCCATAATGCCTACTTGTCTCCAAAGATTCCTCCGCATGCTGGATATATTTCATCGTTTATCCTTGGCGACCAGCGATGGGTCCTCTTTTGTTTCATGTTCTTCAGAGTTTCGGAGACTTCCGATGTTAAGAACTAAAGAAAAAGAGGAACCGGAGATGAAAATTGTTGATGACTTCTCCGGTCCTTTTGATTTATCTTCTGACGAGGGATTATCCTCGGAAAGCTCTTCGGGATCTTCCACCTCGCTGGAGTCATTATCGGGCGAAGACTTTTGATCGAACACTTTCCTATTTATGTTTGTAAAATGTCACTGGGCTTGAAACCCAGCAACATTAATTATATTCCTCCTTTTGCTTTAAATTTGCCGATTTATTCAAATCTTATTTAATGCGTTTAATCTAGGGAATATAATTAGCAATTAACTTGATTACATTTTCCATGAAAGTCGTAATTTCAGATTTGGGAAATCGTCAATTAATACTCTTAAATGTAATCGAGTAAATTTTTGAGTATAAAGTGGGTGTAGTCTGTCATTGAATTTCAACAACAATTCTACAAAAATGTTTGAAGAAGGAAATTCTTCAGAGAAACCTTCTGACTCATTCAAATTGATAAGTGACAATCTTCCGGGAGCACCAGACATCGAGCTTACAA